CTCTGTGTCACTCTCTCTCCCTCTCTACCTTTCACTGACACACACAGGTGACGCATTCACTCAGTTTCTGTGCGCGCGCATTTCTCAATCCGTAAGACAAACTACTACCGCACCCTAACTCAGGGTTACTCAATCTGCCTCAGCAGCCGCAGACTCACTCATCTATCACGGGCTTGGCGGCAGCCTCCCAGTAGCTATGTTGTTCTGCGGGGTCTGATAGGCACCCGCACTTGTGTCATTCAGTTTGTCAATTGGGTTATATTGACGAAGCAGCAACAGATACGAAGTCGCCGAGACACTTAAGCTCCTCAAAGACGACGCAGAGCAGCCGGTGGCGAGGGAGGGGGTAATCAACCGGGGAAAGAGGGATAAAACGTTTTGTGGCGGAAAAAGGTTGAAAATGAAAATTGGGAACACTGGGGTGATCGATCCGCCTACCTCCCGCATGCGAAGTGGGGGCTCTACCATTTGAGCTAAACGCTCTCATATAAAAACACTACGCACACCAATCGACGCGCTCAAAGCACACCAGCATACACTCCCACAAACACCCTACCACACATAACGCAACACTCAAACGGCCACAACCTTAACAGCTACATTGCTTTGCCGTCGTTTGTGAGATAGAATCGATGTGCGCACGCCTTTAATACGCTCCACACTCTCCCCTTTCCTGCTATCCTCAGCATCATCAAACGCAACGCACGTCAGCGCACCCAAGCGTTCATCTCTCTCTCCCACTATCTCTCTCACTCTGTGTCACTCTCTCTCCCTCTCTACCTTTCACTCACACACAGACACATTTGACCCATTCAATCTTTTTCTGAGACCCAGACTCAGGGGACGCATTCAAACAAATTCTGTGCGCGCGCATTTCTCAATCCGTAAGACAAACTACTACCGCACCCTAACTCAGGGTTACTCAATCTGCCTCAGCAGCCACAGACTCACTCATCTATCACGGGCTTGGCGGCAGCCTCCCAGTAGCTATGTTGTTCTGCGGGGTCTGATAGGCACCCGCACTTGTGTCATTCAGTTTGTCAATTGGGTTATATTGACGAAGCAGCAACAGATACGAAGTCGCCGAGACACTTAAGCTCCTCAAAGACGACTCAGAGCAGCCGGTGGCGAGGGGGGGGGTAATCAACGGCGAAGAGGTGATAAAACGTTTGGTGGCGTAAAAAGGTTGAAATTGAAAATTGTGGACACTGGGGGTATCGATCCCCCTACCTCCCGCATGCGAAGCGGGCGCTCTACCATTTGAGCTAAGCGCCCTCATACAGCGACACAACGCACACCAATCGACGCGCTCAAAGCACACCAGCATACACCCCCACAAACACCCTACCACACCTAACGCACACTCAAACGGCCACAACCTAAACAGCTACATGCTTTGCCGTCGTTCGTGGGATAGAATCGATGTGCGCACGCTTTTAATACGCTCCTCACTCTCCCCTTTCCTGCTATCCTCAGCACCTTCAAACGCAACGCACGTCAGCGGACCCAAGCGTTCATCTCTCTCTCCCACTATCTCTCTCACTCTGTGTCACTCTCTCTCTCCCTCTCTACTTTTCACTCACACACACACAGGGGGAGAAGTTCACATATTTTTCTTGGGGGCGCGCGTTTTCTCTATTCCGGAAGAACAAAACTACCTAACGCAACCCCTAAACTCAGGGTAACTCAATCTGCCTCAGCGGCCGCAGACTTACTCACCTATCACGGGCTTGGCGGCAGCCTCCCAGTAGCTATGTTGTTCTGCGGGGTCTGATAGGCACCTGCACTTGTGTCACTCAGTTTATCAATTGGGTTATATTGACGAAGCAGCAACAGATACAAAGTCGCCGAGATACTTAAGCTCCTTAAAGACGACGCAGAGCAGCCGGTGGCGAGGGGGGGAGTAATCAACGGCGAAGAGGTGATAAAACGTTTGGGGGCGTAAAAAGGTTGAAAATGAAAATTGTGGACACTGGGGGTATCGATCCCCCTACCTCCCGCATGCGAAGGGGGCGCTCTACCATTTGAGCTAAGCGCCCTCATACACAGACACAACGCACACCAATCGACGCGCTCAAAGCACACCAGCATACACTCCCACAAACACCCTCCCACACCTAACGCACACTCAAACGGCCACAACCTTAACAGCTACATGCTTTGCCGTCGTTCGTGGGATAGAATCGATGTGCGCACGCTTTTAATACGCTCCTCACTCTCCCCTTTCCTGCTATCCTCAGCACCTTCAAACGCAACGCACGTCAGCGCACCCAAGCGTTCATCTCTCTCTCCCACTATCTCTCTCACTCTGTGTCACTCTCTCTCTCCCTCTCTACCTTTCACTCACAGATACACAGATGACGCATTCACTCAATTTCCGTGCGCGTGCATTTCTCAATCCGTAGGACAAACTACTACCGCACCCTAGCTCAGGGTAACTCAATCTGCCTCAGCAGCCGCAGACTCACTCACCTATCACGGGCTTGGCGGCAGCCTCCCAGTAGCTATGTTGTTCTGCGGGGTCTGATAGGCACCCGCACTTGTGTCATTCAGTTTGTCAATTGGGCTATATTGACGAAGCAGCAACAGATACGAAGTCGCCGAGACACTTAAGCTTCTCAAAGACGACGCAGAGCAGCCGGTGGCGAGAGGGGGTAATCAACGGCGAAGAGGTGATAAAACGTTTGGTGGCGTAAAAAGGTTGAAAATGAAAATTGTGGACACTGGGGGTATGGATCCCTCTACCTCCCGCATGCGAAGCGGGCGCTCTATCATTTGAGCTAAGCGCCCTCATACACAGACACAACGCACACCAATCGACGCGCTCAAAGCACACCAGCATACACTCCCACAAACACCCTACCACACCTAACGCACACTCAAACGGCCACAACCTTAACAGCTACATGCTTTGCCGTCGTTTGTGGGATAGAATCGATGTGCGCACGCCTTTAATACGCTCCACACTCTCCCCTTTCCTGCTATCCTCAGCATCTTCAAACGCAACGCACGTCAGCGCACCCAAGCGTTCATCTCTCTCTCCCACTATCTCTCCCACTCTGTGTCACTCCCTCTCCCTCTCTACCGTTCACTCACACACACACACACACACACACACACACACAGGTGACGCATTCACTCAGTTTCTGTGCGCGCGCATTTCTCAATCCGTAAGACAAACTACTACCGCACCCTAACTCGGGGTTACTCAATCTGCCTCAGCAGCCGCAGACTCACTCATCTATCACGGGCTTGGCGGCAGCCTCCCAGTAGCTATGTTGTTCTGCGGGGTCTGATAGGCACCTGCACTTGTGTCACTCAGTTTGTCAATTGGGTTATATTGACGAAGCAGCAACAGATACGAAGTCGCCGAGACACTTAAGCTCCTCAAAGACGACGCAGAGCAGCCGGTGGCGAGGGGGGGGGTAATCAACGGCGAAGAGGTGATAAAACGTTTGGTGGCGTAAAAAGGTTGAAAATGAAAATTGTGGACACTGGGGGTATCGATCCCCCTACCTCCCGCATGCGAAGGGGGCGCTCTACCATTTGAGCTAAGCGCCCTCATACACAGACACAACGCACACCAATCGACGCGCTCAAAGCACACCAGCATACACTCCCACAAACACCCTACCACACCTAACGCACACTCAAACGGCCACAACCTTAACAGCTACATGCTTTGCCGTCGTTTGTGGGATAGAATCGATGTGCGCACGCCTTTAATACGCTCCACACTCTCCCCTTTCCTGCTATCCTCAGCATCTTCAAACGCAACGCACGTCAGCGCACCCAAGCGTTCATCTCTCTCTCCCAATATCTCTCCCACTCTGTGTCACTCCCTCTCCCTCTCTACCGTTCACTCACACACACACACACAGGTGACGCATTCACTCAGTTTCTGTGCGCGCGCATTTCTCAATCCGTAAGACAAACTACTACCGCACCCTAACTCGGGGTTACTCAATCTGCCTCAGCAGCCGCAGACTCACTCATCTATCACGGGCTTGGCGGCAGCCTCCCAGTAGCTATGTTGTTCTGCGGGGTCTGATAGGCACCTGCACTTGTGTCACTCAGTTTGTCCATTGGGTTATATTGACGAAGCAGCAACAGATACGAAGTCGCCGAGACACTTAAGCTCCTCAAAGACGACGCAGAGCAGCCGGTGGCGAGGGGGGGAGTAATCAACGGCGAAGAGGTGATAAAACGTTTGGTGGCGTAAAAAGGTTGAAAATGAAAATTGTGGACACTGGGGGTATCGATCCCCCTACCTCCCGCATGCGAAGCGGGCGCTCTACCATTTGAGCTAAGCGCCCTCATACAGACACAACGCACACCAATCGACGCGCTCATAGCACACCAGCATACACTCCCACAAACACCCTACCACACCTAACGCACACTCAAACGGCCACAACCTAAACAGCTACATGCTTTGCCGTCGTTCGTGGGATAGAATCGATGTGCGCACGCTTTTAATACGCTCCTCACTCTCCCCTTTCCTGCTATCCTCAGCACCTTCAAACGCAACGCACGTCAGCGCACCCAAGCGTTCATCTCTCTCTCCCACTATCTCTCTCACTCTGTGTCACTCTCTCTCTCCCTCTCTACCTTTCACTCACACACACACAGGTGACGCATTCACTCAATTTCCGTGCGCGTGCATTTCTCAATCCGTAGGACAAACTACTACCGCACCCTAGCTCAGGGTAACTCAATCTGCCTCAGCAGCCGCAGACTCACTCACCTATCACGGGCTTGGCGGCAGCCTCCCAGTAGCTATGTTGTTCTGCGGGGTCTGATAGGCACCTGCACTTGTGTCACTCAGTTTGTCAATTGGGTTATATTGACGAAGCAGCAACAGATACAAAGTCGCCGAGATACTTAAGCTCCTTAAAGACGACGCAGAGCAGCCGGTGGCGAGGGGGGGAGTAATCAACGGCGAAGAGGTGATAAAACGTTTGGTGGCGTAAAAAGGTTGAAAATGAAAATTGTGGACACTGGGGGTATCGATCCCCCTACCTCCCGCATGCGAAGCGGGCGCTCTACCATTTGAGCTAAGCGCCCTCATACAGACACAACGCACACCAATCGACGCGCTCATAGCACACCAGCATACACTCCCACAAACACCCTATCACACCTAACGCACACTCAAACGGCCACAACCTAAACAGCTACATGCTTTGCCGTCGTTCGTGGGATAGAATCGATGTGCGCACGCTTTTAATACGCTCCTCACTCTCCCCTTTCCTGCTATCCTCAGCACCTTCAAACGCAACGCACGTCAGCGCACCCAAGCGTTCATCTCTCTCTCCCACTATCTCTCTCACTCTGTGTCACTCTCTCTCTCCCTCTCTACCTTTCACTCACACACACACAGGTGACGCATTCACTCAATTTCCGTGCGCGTGCATTTCTCAATCCGTAGGACAAACTACTACCGCACCCTAGCTCAGGGTAACTCAATCTGCCTCAGCAGC